AATAATTTTAACAATTGGCCAAGTAATTTTACTATTCGCCTTATTTAGCTTATCTGATAAGATCTTACAATGTTGAAATTTTAATCTATACCAGATAGTATATGGAATAGATAAAAGGTGATAAGATTAACTGTCAAAGAGGCAATTAATTCATCATGTCTAATTTTTTTATAATTGATAAAAAGCATTGGAAAAAAAATTCTGCTAAGTTTTTTTTTTTGTGATATGATAATTTCAATAATCATATCAATGATGGAATTTAATGATTTATAGATTTTTCAATAAAATATTTCCGTAAAACCTAATAGTAAAAAGAAGGGGAAATTTTATTTTTCATCAAATTTCAAAATATTAGAATTATTCATCCATCATAATTAATTAATTTGACCTTATCATTCATCCTAAAAGATTGACGCTCAAAGTTTTTGCAATGAAATAAATTTAGTTGGAAAATGAATTTCGTTTGCTTGGAACATTTGATAACTTGGATAATTCAGTAGTTCTTTAACTAATTAAAGATTAATTTCATTATATACCATTTACCTGTCTTTTTTTTTCTTCCTATTTTATTAAGTTAATATTTTGAAAATTTAAAAAAAAAAAAATCGAAATAAATGTGGCATTATAAATTGTTTGCCAATTAACTTCAAGATAATAAATCATTCCCATGATAACTTATATTGGTGCTTCATAAAAAGCAAAATGAAATTCTCGAAATTCCCGAATGATCAATCATCTTATAACAAATCTATTCATTACCACAAAGTTACAATCTTTATTCGAAGAAATAATATTAACAAAAGAAAAAATTTTTTTTTTTTTGCAGACCATAAATTAATCAATTCATTTCCATTTTTTAAAATAATTTCTTAAATAGATTTACTTCTATAATTGAATTGTTATAATATTGTAAAATGGAAATAATCTTGAATGTTTACTTTAAAAAGTCATTCAAGTGGAAATTCTATTATCGATTTATTTATTTCATCCCACTTCCTTTTTTTTTTTATTATTTGAAAAAGATTTATTTGCAATATAATTCTATCTTTTATTTGATTGAAAAAAGAAGGAAAAGGAAAGAATGGATGAAATGGAAAAGGAAATTTATTAGTGATTGAAAGTATTAAATGGATGGAAGAATTTGGAATAGAAAAAAAAAATAACAATATAAAATTTTCCAAAAGCAAAGCTAAAATAAATTTCAAATATCCTTTCCTCTTTCATTTCCATTCTTTTATTAACAATTACATTAACTAATTTCATTATTATTATCATTATCATTATCAAGATCACATTTACTAATTATTATTATTATTTATTATCTTATTACTATTATTATCGCTATTATTACTATTACTATTACCATTATTATTATTATTGCTATTATTATTATTATTATTATTATTATTGTTATTATTATTACCATTATTATTATTATTATTATTATTATTATTATTGTTATCATTATTATTATTATTATTATTATTATTATTATTATTATTATTATTATTATTATTATTATTATTATTATTATTATTATTATTATTATTACTTATTATTATTATTATTATTATTATT